GGTACGAGTTAAAATCAACAGTCCTAACCCGAGTGCCAACCATCATGCTGATGCGCTTCTACCACCAAGGAACAAAATTTCGCAATCTGATAGAGCGCTGTGTGTTCAAGGTTAAGAAACAAGTTCTCCACCTTGTCCTGATCTGAAGTGCCTGCCAGAAGGGGATTAATAAGTTTAGTACGAGCCTCTTCAAATACCGGGCATCTTAGGAACACATGTTCCTGAGATTCAATCTCCCCCAACGCACACAAGCATAGCCTCTCTGTTCGGGGTATTTTTTTAAATTTACCCTCAAGAACTGCAGAGGGTAAGGCCGAGCATCTGGCCAGAGTATATGCCCTCCTAAGTTTACGTGACTCCAAAACTTTAAGATATGGGGCCTGCACAACGATGTATTTGTTACTAATTGGCGCTATAAATGTTGGGGACACCTGTAGATCAAATTGGCGTTCGGTATCCTTGATCCTCTGTCTAATTTCTAACTTAGCTCGGTCCCTACCCATCTCCAGCAGCGCTAAGGGAGAATACCCCAAGAGCGAAATTTTCCGCTTAACAGAAATCAGCCAATTGGATTCGAAGGCATCAGTCAGGATCAGGGGCGCTAGACCACACGGGTTCAAATTGATCTTTAGCCAATAGAAGATGGAGTATAAGGCAATCATGGCTTCAACCTTCAGCATGCCAGTCTCTAGCCGTACCATTGCGTTAGATACGCATCTCGGAACTTGGAGCACTGCTCTCAAAAACTTTGACTGGACTAGCTCCAAGGGAGCATAGCTGGATGGAGGCGCTCCAAGCAGCGTTCCGTAGAGCATCTGGGCAAGTGTTTTGGCCTTATAAAGTTTTAAAGCTGGTGGTACAAAAAAGCCCCCTTGGGAGCTGAAGAACTTAAGAATACCATGTGAGGATTTTTCACCCAAGCAAGCAGCTGCCTGACTATGGGCAGTCCTAGATCCAGAGGCTTGGAGGATCATGCCTAGATAGCGAAAGCTAGCTACCTGTTCCAGGTTCTGCCCGTTTACCCTCCACTTCCTTATTTTGGGTTGTTTCCTTCGAAATAAATTGGTCTCGGGTCTTTCTGATGGCACGGCTCTCAATAGGCCATTTCACTCAAGGTTTCGTCAATGTAATTCCAAAATAACTCACCCTTTCATATTTTTTTGCAACTTTTTTCCTGTTCTTTCTTCCTTTCTAGCTTACATCAGCTTTAAAGGTAAAGGTAAAGGTTACCTTGCTCAAAAGCCAGTCGAATCCGACTCTAGGGTTGCGGTGCTCATCTCCGTTTCAAAGCCGAAGAGCCAGCGCTGTCCGAAGACGTTTCCGTGGTCATGTGGCCGGCACGACTAAACACCAAGGCGCACGGAACGCTGTTACCTTCCCACCGAAGTGGTACCTATTTATCTATTTGCAATGTCTTGCTTTCGAACTACTAGGTTGGCAGGAGACATCCGCTTTAATGGTTTGTTATTCACTGGATAGTTAAAGAAGATCTATTTCCCCCTAAACATGACTTCGTTATCGTATCATGGTTGTTTTCCTACGAAGTTCAGCCTGTCCCGTGATCTCTTGTCCTTGACTCCACTGGCATTAAAGGTGTGAGCAGGTGATTTGGCTGCTGCATAAATCAGTCTGCTCTGGAGCCCTCCTTCCTGAATTAAGACAAAAATGTGTGAGCCGGAGGCTAAAAAACTGTGAGCTGGCTCACACTAACTTAGCTTAGAGGGAACACTAGAGGAGCGGGAACACACCGAAATCACCAGCGCGTGCAAGTCTTGATATTGCCAGGTTTTAGGATATTTTAGTGCTAGATCTTGTGACAGGACCTCTGAAAGAATTACCTTGGAGCAGTGTTCCCTCTAAGCTGAGTTAGCGTGAGCTGGCTCACAGTTTTTTAGCCTCCGGCTCACACATTTTTCTCTTAGCTCCGGAAGGATGGCTCCAGAGCAAACTACTTTATGCAGGAGCCAAATTACTGCTCATAGCTTTAATGCCAGTAGCTCACAAAGTGGAATTTTTGCTCATAAGACTCTACAGCTTAGAGGGAACATTGCCTTGGAGTGCAAGATTTCTGGGTTTTAACGAAAAGAAATGCACACTAGTTGTGTTTTAGTGCAGCAGCTGAATAAGGGTGTTGAAGTCAGCTAGGAATGATGAGAGCTGGGTGCGGGCTCTTTTTGTAGCAGGTACTCATTTGCATATTAAGTGACACACCCCTAATGTAGCCAATCCTCCAGTCGCAAACTATTTACTTATACATTCAGGTGGGGTAGCCATGTTGGTCTGAAGCGACAGAACAAAGTTTGATTCTGGGTATAAACTTCCGTGTGCAGGCACACTTGTTGTGTTTAAAAAGGAAAAATTGGTATTTAGCAGAGATAAAATAGCTTAGCAGTGCCAGAGTAAAATAATTCAGACTCAGAGTCCATGTGTGATTAAAATATAAAGTTTTTACTCAATTCTAGCATGGGGAAGGGTAACTGGGATGAAAATAACAACAGAGCTAAACGCTACATCCTTACACTACAAAAGACAAGACTAGAAGAAAAGTAATGGCTGCTCTTCTTTCTGCTTCAGAACTCCAAACAAAGACGGGAAGAGGAGCCATAAAATGCTAAAACACTTTGACACTATCACTCCAATCAAACTCCTAGATCAGGGAGAAAATTCCTGGGCTTCTTACATCTAACAAGCATTGGCTACATGAAACACATGTGACTTCCTGTGAGCAACACAAACAAACATTTAACCCCAGATATACTGAGTGTAATTTTAACTTGTCATACCCAACAACACTTCTTCAGATATTTGATATACAGTCAGGCAGTCACACAAAGGTGCTGTCCCGTTGCCAGTTTCTGGGTTAAAAAAAGATAACCCCTGATTGTAGCCTTTTGGACATGGACCAAAAGGCTTGTGTTGTCTGTCTACATATTTTTTCAAGCCAGAATTCTTGTGATCTCCTGATCAGCGTTTAAGTTCATAGAGATCCAGGTGGCCAGCTGTGTTGTTCTGGAGCAGTAGAACAAGTTTAGAGTCCAGCGGCACCTTTAAGACCAACAAAGGTTTATTCAAGGGCATGAGCTTTCATGGGCAGGGCACACTTTTTCAAATACCTTCCATTCCAATGTATTTGAAATTTATTTGGAAAAGCGTGCGTGCCCACGAAAGCGCATACCTTGAATAAACCTTTGTTGGTCTTAAAGGTGATGCTGGACTCTTAAGTAAGTTCATATAGCCAGTGTGTCTACCCTGGATTTTTAAAGAAGCGAGACACAACTTAAATCTGTGTCGAAAGATCCTGATTATGTGTTCTGGTTTAAGAGCAGAAGTCACACCTGGCAGGATCAGGCCTAGATCTAGCCAGATTCATCATCCCCCTCCACCCCCAAGAACCTTGGGAAGGAAAATCCCAGCTAGGAAATGGTCACTGGTCAACCGATGGTTATCTTCTGCCCATTTGGTAGGGTAGCAGAACTTTCTCTATATCTCTTGAATTTTAATAGGCACCCATTGATGCTAATGGAGAGGAATGGAGCCCAGAGTTGTCTTCTAAGTGAAAAGTAGGATTGACCACGTTTGAAATAGTCGGGTAGTGCGGGAAGGGGTTTATTCATCAGAAAATTTTGTTCTTCCGTTTCTCAGGTGAACCCGCAGAAGAGATCTGGAGCGAGGACCTCGAAGCTGCAGGAGTGTCCAGATGTTTACAGAGCGCATCCCAGGTGCTCAGTCCGGGAGTCCGCGGGAAGCACAAGCAAGGCAGAAAATGTGA